AAGCATACAATCTTAAACTACCATAAAATAAATCAGTTAAATACTTATTTTTCTCCTCTTCCGCTTTGAAATCCAGTTGTTCCTAGTCTTTGATCACCTTACTTGCTACCTCTTCTCATAAATGCTACTTAACTATCTTGTACTGCTAATCTGGATGTTTTAGGTCATATGTATCTGCCTGGAATGAACCTCAGAGATGAGCACATCAGGATTCACAAAGCTGACATTTCTGTATAAACAACCTATATCACAGCTTATAACTGAAGTAATAATCCATATGTCATTGAATGCAAAAACCCCCATCACTGGTGTCAGTGGTCAAAACAGTTGGTGTCATGCTGCAGTAATAAAAAAAAAACAGCATTGGTGTCAGTAGGCTGTAATAATGACTCCAACATTGCTGTCAGTAAATGCAAAAATTGCAGCGAAAAAAATGCCCTGGTGTCATCAGCCGCTTTCCCTCTCTCTACAAAATTAAATAAAATGTTTTGGCTAGAGTTACGCTTTAAGCTGTTAGCACCTTGCAGATGGTGTCTTTTTTTGAGTCCTCACTAAATCCTAGCATTATAAACTAGAATCTTCTGAGATGGTATTGGATTGCACTGTAAATGTCAGGCATAAAACTAGTGCCTTAAGTATATATGAATATAGATCACAATCACGATGTCACAGTTTTATAAAAATATCACCCATTCCTCTTGCCTGAAATACACTGAAGCCAGGCAGCAAGTGACTAACTATTAACCTTTTCCAGACATTTAGGATGGCGTATAAAGGCATAATCTAACCTAAATAACCTTAATACAAAAGTATAGGCTTATCATGTTGCTAAATAAAGCAAGCTATTTGACAGCAGAAACCACTAAGGATCAAGCAAAGTGTTCTAGTTAGTTTCAGGTTTTTTTTTTCTGCTGCACTTCCATAAATACAATGCAGCTGTCCATTTGCTAATGGTGATGTGACTTTCAGTAATTTCCTTCTTAGAAAGTAGAGAACACATAGGTAATGGAAAAATGCCTACAGAGGAAAACTGCCATTTAATATACTCAAACACTTGCACTGGTTTGGGTAGGCGGAAACTGACGTTAAAATAAGTAGTAAGGAATACATATTATACCTGACGGGAAAAGGGCTTTAGACTGCATGATTAAAAAAAAAATCAATAAAAACATGTTATCTATGCAGCTTCTAATTGCTCACAGTGTTCCTATTGATGTGATTACCCCTTACTATCTATCCTGGGTTAGGATGTTAAAGTGGAATTACACTGTATCTGAGCACCACAAACTAAAAATGCTATTTAATTTATTTGTAATATTCAAAGCAAAGGTACCCATCCATCCATGTGTAGCGTTACCATCTTGAGGGCCGCTGTATTTCTAGGTCCCCCTAAGCTCCTCACAGCCAGACAACATGCATTTTCCACACATGCATCTACAGTCAGTGAACAGTCTATGAGTTTGGCTTTTGTTATATTTATTAGGGGAAATAACTTGGATAGGGTAATAGGGATTATGGGATGCCCAACTTGACTGAATCAATGCACAGAGACAACAACCTTCCTATGTACAGAAACAGATCCTGGACTGTTCTTTTCCTTGAAAGCTGTCATTCTTTGTGATCCACAAAGACTGATGGCTTTCAAGGAAAAGAACAGTCCAGGATCTGTTTTTGTACATAGGAAGGAAGTTGTCTCTGTGCATTGATTCAGTCAAGTTGGGCATCCCATAATCCCTAATGATCCATTAACAACAGCCCCTTTCGGGCTAGGGACTCGCAGCTAACTCTGTAAATTAGCTTAACCTTTTGCAAACTACACACAGAGATGTCTCCTCTCCCCTGTAGAACATCTCCCAGCTCCACAGTCTGCAGGCGCTACCAGCCCTCCTGGCTGCTCTGAAGATCTCCCAGGGCAAAGATAAAGGATTAAGCACAATTCTGTTCTTTGAAAGCTTGCTACACATGGCATTCTCTACCCTAGAAAAACCCTGGGTGTACTGATGTACTCACTATGTCCTCCTTGCTCCCACTGCTCCCAGCCTTGATCCTGTTCATACCATGATGCTGAATGGATCCTCCTGAGCTAGCCCGAGCCTAGCCCCCTAGACCTAGGGGAGCTTTCCCAGGCCACCGACAGCCTCTTCAGCATTCCACCTTCCACCAGCCTCTCTTGTTGGCCTGACTATCCCATATTTATGGGTTGGTCCCACCACTCTACCAGGGCCTCCAAACCTGGAATTAGTTAGACTCCCATAAACATGCAGATTAGGTCTCCACCCCTTCCACCCACTGGCCTCTGGAAGGTTCCATGGTCCTCCAGAGTCAGGTGGAGGCAATAGAATCTCAAAGTGTTAAGCCATCCAGCCTGACCTGTAGTAATCCGACCTAATTACAGACTCACATGGTTACTATGAGTCATACACAATACATTTATCTACACTATCCTAGTAGCACACTAGAGGGTGCTACATGTGTCTCCATGAGAAATCACTTTGAAAAACACCCCCTAGCATTTCTAGCCACCTCTATCTTGAGTAAGGGCAGATAAGATCCCCCGCTAGTTGTCACAGTTGGGATCAGGGGGGTGCGGGGGCTGGTCCATTTGTAACATGTTACAGCCTAAATATGGGTATAACATGTAGCGAAATGTATACTATCTGTGCCTGTGGCTGCATAGTGGGTCATGCTGGTTGATATTTTTGTTACATGGGAAGTTGTTTTCCGATATTTCATGATATGTCATCTGTACATTATTATGTTGCTGTGGTAGATGGTACCTATATAATGTTTTCTCTTTTCGCTCTTTCTCCATGATTTTCTTTGTAAAGTTTGGAAACTTTTTCTTAAATAAAGAGTTATGTAAAAAAGAACTATCTTTACCTAATTCAGACAAGCATTTGTGCTAGCGTTGGTAATAGTACAGTGCCATGCAGCAAATTCAGGTAGTTCTTGCTATCACTGCTATGACAGCAACACATTCATAAAGAATTATGGCTAGTTTTCAATTTAGAAAACTAGCTGTAATTAAGACCAATTCTGAATTGGCATACAGAGATATGCCACTACTCATAGAGAGCCCTGCATGTGCTGGAAGCTGTTATGCATGTGACAACTTCCAGCAAAGTGTTGTATCCCCGGCCCCATTTAGCTGCCAGTAGATTCCCTGGCTGAAAGCTAAATGTAAACAAAAGGACCAAGGGTACAGGTGATGTCATTACCCAAATAGGGGCAATGTCCCTATTTGGGAAAGACTTATCACTTGGTGGGCAGAGCCTGATGGGGAACTGAGAGACTAGTTAGCTATCAGGCCATCTTTACTTATAAACTGAAAGCGTATGGCAGTTTAAAAGCTGCTAATGGACTAAGTAGAAACTATGGCTATGCCCACTCCTGTGTGGTGTCAATCAAAAGTGAAGTAGACTCAATAGGGTACTAGTTTCTCAGTTCCCATTCAGGCTCCTCCCACCCCTAGTATGAAACTCTTCAGCCATGTTGCCTGTCAGTGTGATGGGCACAGTGGTTGGGGAGGGAGTGCACTGAAGAATCCAATGTGGACACTTCTTACCCGGTGCAGAAATGGCCATATTAATGCACCTGTGACGACTCATGAATTGGGCGCAAGCACCATCACTTTAGAAATCACCAGGTATCAGGGGCTAGTTTGTAGTATGACACTGAGTTTAAATTTCTTGTCCTAAAGGAGCTTGATCCATTGCCAGCCACATGGCTGGACAACCTCTGCTCTTGGCTACCAAAAGTGGTATACCATTCAGGCACCATTGCACAGGTCTACCCAGAGGGCCTAGGCTATAAGAAGATTGCCATGACCCTGAAACTGAGCTGCAGCATGGTGGCCAAAACCATACATCGGTTTAACAGGACAGGTTCCACTCAGAACAGACCAAATAAGTTTAGTGCACGTCCTCAGCGTCATATCCAGAGGTGACTTTTGGGAAATAGATGTATGAGTGCTGCCAGCTTTGCTGCAGAGGTTGAAGGGGTGGGGGGTCAGCCTGTAAGTGCTCAGACCATACACTGCACACTGCATCAAATTGGTCTGCATGGCTGTCATCCCAAAAGAAAACCTCTTCTAAAGATGATGCACAAGAAATCCCGCAAACAGTTTGCTGAAGACAAGCAGACTAAGGACATGGATTACTGGATTACTTGGTCTGATGAGACCAAGATGAACTGATTTAGTTCAGATGGTGTCAAGCGTGTGTGGTGGCAACCAGATGAGGAGTACAAAGACAAGTGTGTCTTGCCTACAGTCAAGCATGGTAATGGGAGTGTTATGGTCTGGGGATGCATGAGTACTGCAAAGTGAAACAAAAACGAGAAGCGCACCAACCTTGTGCATTACCTCAGCAACCACATTTTATTAATTAAAGAATGGTACTCACAAACAGCGAATAAAATCAGGCATGTAGTCCTCAAAGGGACTTCAGAGATAAGGAGCCAGCGCGAATCCCATCATGGGGGTAGACACTCAGTACAGCTGACGCGTTTCGAAGGCCATGCCTTCTTCATCAGAGCTCAGGAGAAATCGCATCTGATGCATGAGTGCTGCCAGGACTGGGGAGCTACAGTTCATTGAGGGAAACATGAATGCCAACACGTACTGTGACATACTGAAGTGGAGCATGATCCCCTCCCTGCGGAGACTGGGCCACAGAGCAGTATTCCAACATGATAACGACCTCAAACACACCTCCAAGACGACCACTACCTTGCTAAAGAAGCTGAGGGTAAAGGTGATGGACTCGCCAAGCATGTCTCCAGACCTACACCCTATTGAGCATCTGTTGGGCATCCTCAAACGGATGGTGAAGCGCAAGGTCTCTAACATCCACCTGCTCTGTTGTCGTTAGAGATGAGCGAAGTATTCAAAAATTCGATTCGACTGATTCGGCGAATTCGTGGACAATATTCGATTCGAGTCGAATATATTCGCTGTGAATTTAACTTAAAAAAGGGTGTTTCTAGGCTTCAGAGAGACTTAATATTAGTGCAGAACACTGTACCTTTAATTTAAATGCCCTTGGAGTCTGCTGGGGAAGAGAAATAATACTGTCAGTCAGTATGACATGCAGATGAGTGCCGTCGATCTTAGAATCACCGCACACTTCACTCATTTGGCCAGTCACGGGGCCAAAACCAGTGTTTGGAGCCACAGTGTGGCGGTGGAGGCAGCAGCAATGGGAGGCCATACAGCAACCTATGACAAAATGGAAACCAGCAGGAGTGTGAGGAGACCTCAAAGTGGCACATGGCAGAGTGGGAGCAATGGGAGGCGGTACAGGGACCCATGTCACACTGTGGACCCAGCAGCAGCGTGACCAGGCGGTACGGGGGCCCATGGCAGATTACAGGCCTGGCAGCAGCAATGGGAGGCCCGTAATCTGTCAGCACCCTATGACAAAAAATGGAACACACCAGCAGTGTGTGAGGAGACCTGAAAGTGGCACATGGCAGAGTGTGGCGATGGAGACAGCAGCAATGGGAGGCCGTACAGGGACCCATGAGAGACTCTGGACCTGGCAGCAGCATGAGGAGGCGGTATAGGGGCCCATGGCAGATTAGGGGCCTGGCAGCAGCTATGGGAGGCCCAGTAATCTGCCAGCACCCTATGTCAAAAAATTCAACACACCAGCAGTGTGAGGAGACCTGAAAGTGGCACATGCAGAGTGTGGCGATGGATAGACAGCAGCAATGGGAGGCCGTACAGGGACCCATGACAGACTCTGGACTTGGCAGCAGCATGAGGAGGCGGTGGTATAGGGGCCCATGGCAGATTAGGGGCCTGGCAGCAGTATGGGAGGCCCGTAATCTGCCAGCACCCTATGTCAAAAAATTGAACACACCAGCAGTGTGAGGAGACCTGAAAGTGGCACATGTTTGGGGCATGATTCATGGCGGATTTAGTCAGTTGTGTCAGGAACTGGTGGTTTGAAATCCAGACTAATCCACGCCTGATTCATTTTCACAAACTTGAGTCTCTCCACACTTTGGGTGGACAGTCGTGTCCTCCGCGGAGTTGCAATACCTCCTGCCGCACTAAACACGCGCTCGATGCCACGCTACTGGCCGGGCATGACAGCCTTTCAAGGGCAAATTCAGCTAGTTGGGGCCAAAGGTCAAGTTTCGTTGCCCAGTAGTCAAGGGGATTGTCTACCTCGGTTGGCAGGGTGCTGTCCAAGTAGGCCCAAGCCTGTTTGTTTGAGGTCCTGCTCCAGGTCCACCTGATGCTGCTGCTGCTGCTGCTGCTGCTGCGGCTGGTTATTAGTTTCCTCACTGCGCTGGTGAAGAAAGCTACTCATCATCGACTGCAGACTGAGGCAGCTGCTGCTGGTGGAGCTGCCACTGCTCCTACCACCCCACCCCTCCCCCTGCTGCCATGGTAGCGTAAACGCCGGAGCGCACAGGGCCCACAGTGTCTGAGGATGGACGTTGGCGCAGACAGGCAGAGACCAGCTGACTACATAGGTGGTTTTTTATAGTACGTTATTGTGGCCTCCCTCTCTGCAGGTGTGAAAAGGCCACATTTGGAACGGTATGCGAGGGTCAACAAGGTGGACAGCCAAAAGTCACCTCTGTCTGATGGTTATTATTCGGCTGTCGGTACGCAAGCCAACGAGAATGCTATGGGGCCATTTGTGCCAAGGAATGCGAGGGACTCCCTGAACTCTCTCCACAAGATACTGCCACGGTGGTCTGGGTCTCTGTTCCTCTTCCTCTCCTCTACCAGATGCTCCGCTCTCC